TTACATTTAAAAACAACCTTCTCAAGCTCTTCTTCCACAGCTCTGGCAATTTCATTTTTCTGCTCAAAAGCATCATCCAAGTTCAGCTTTGGAACACTTGCCCTAATTACTACAATGAGAATAGAAATTTCTCCTTAGCTAAACAAATATGGTTAAACCACTTATTCCAGGCTTCTGTTAATGAGTATTATGGTTTATACCATCAAAAACATATGCCTGAATTTGGGTCTTTGTATTGCTGAGTTTGTAAAAAGCATCATTGGCCTTCTCTGCCAGGGCACGGTACTGAATTGAAGCAACAACAGTAACAAATACATTATCCTGTAAGCAGACAAACATTTAATCTGATCAAATTTGACTCGACGGGAAAGTATAAGATAATGTTTACAGAATAACAGGTACTAGTGAAAGACAAACAAACATACAACAACAAATCAAGCCTTTTCCCACTAGATGGAGTCAGCTAGACAGCTACATAGACTAAATGATGCCATGGTAAAGTATATTGTTGATAATCATGTCTTAGACTAATCATTGAGCTCGAAATCCTTTTCAGTAGTTTGTTTATAGTTTTTCTAGACCTTTCTCTACCTTTTGCAATAGGACTTCCCTCTAGCTGACAACGAAGCACAAGAAATGACAACCAAATACACATAATAAAAAATATCTATGCTGAATGTTCGTGGTGATTAAAAACCAAGAAATGGCTTAAAATATTTGGTTATAGTTAAAGTGTTAGGAAAAAACAAAAAACCTTTGTCTTGGTCTCACATCGAAGATCCAATTGTTGAAGTCGAAGAGAGAGATGACCAGCAAGTTGTTTCCCAAGGAACCATGGCATGCAATGGCATCCTGGCTGAAGCACCTTCTCAAATCGTCCAAAATTTTCTTTTATAGCCACTGTAGATTGCTCCACTTGCACACAACAGAAAAGATTTCCCATTGCTGTTAACTGCAATATTCGAATGTATCAGCACTAACTCAACAAGACACAGAATTTTGAGGATGACAATTGTAGCATGCATGAACTGAACGCAAGAAATTTGAAGGATTTTGACTAAACACGAACAGCCAGTATACAGGCTAAATATGGACACAAGGTCAACTACAATTTATTTCACACGTTAGCAAAACCAACAGCAAAATCTATGGGAACACATCGAGTTACAGTCCTCAGCAGGAGAGAAACCAGTGTTTGTACCAACAAAAGTCCAACAAACCTCTACTTTAGTACTTATTGTGATAATCCTACAAGCTATTCAGTGAAGGGTACGCAACATGAATACGGTAAAAGAGTTTAACCAGTAAAACGGACGACCAAAACTTGTACTCTTTTACAACAGTATTTGAGAATTCGAATTAAAGAAGGCCCAATAGTGGACAATATAAGTTAGTTATTATATTGTGTCCCCAACAGTAGTCCCAAAATTATTATCACTGGTTAGACAAGTATTGATTTTAAGAAAAAAAAAATGCAATATACTGGCAAGAAAAGAAACAAACAAATCAAAGGCAGTATCAGAAAGCCTTGCCAAATTAATAAATTCACCCCATAGAAGATTGCTAAGCAATCTGGAATTCAGCATCAGATTATTTAATAATCATATCCAAATCATGTAACCATTTTATCTTAACTCACCTACTCCAGGGAGACTCTTTTGTTCCAGTGATGAAAATTTTCTCCTGGCACAATTGTGGAAAAAGGTGACAACTACTCAGAAAACATAACAAGCAATTAATGTGGATATGCTTTTGTATTCTACAAAAGAACTCATCTCAACTCTCCAAGCAAAAATATAATTAGATACTCACATGCACCACATAAAACACATAAAATTGGAAACAGGAAAAGATGCAACTTAGAAGAAAAATACAGAGGATCAAAATGGCACCTCAAAGATAGAGGCTTCCAAAGCAAAGCTGACTTGGGAGAGCTGTTGCTTAGATTGTAAACAAGGAGCTCTTGAACAATGAGAGTAGATAAATACTTGCCATTCGTAACATATTCATCACCACCATTAATCATGACGTATTTGTTTTAACCCTATATTCTATACCCATTGGCATACACATATAAAATTTATATATTGTCTGTCAAAAACCCAGAATTGCAAGCTAACTGACATGACAGGCGAATTACAACACAACTTCGTCAAGGAGATTTTACCTACACAATCCTCCTGCTGATACAACCTAGACAATTACTTATTGCCTTTTTTAAATTCACTTGTGGGACAAGGCTACACAAAGTCCAACCCTAAAATTATATAAATAATTAGCCAATGGGTAAACAGTAACAAACATTTCACACATACTACGCAGAGTTCGGAAACAATATCTACACAACCATAAAAGTTTGAAAGATGAAATTGAACTGCAGTGGTAAGAGAACTTTTAATTATTACCTAATATTCAGTTTTGCTGAATCAATCAATTGAACCCCCAAAACACGCAATAACTATGCTGTTGAGGATTTTCGTATTAGCCGAATATGTAGTATGTATAAAAGTTATCAAAAGCCGAGAGTTTTCGTAAAGTCCTGATTGGTAAACTTGTAAGAGATGGCTTAAGATAAAAAAATATTATATAAGGGAAAAAAACAGCATAAAAATATAAGTCATTCCATGACCAAAGGAAAGATTGCTAGTCAACCATGTTAGCATAAAGCAATCAACAGAGGAAACAGGTAAACTATAATCACAAACAATCGTTTGAGTCCAAAATTGCACTTCATACAATATTTAGTTAATATACACACGAGTTGATTTAATGAACACAACCTGACCCATATTAATATAGCGAAAATAACAAAATGTAATGCCTAAACAATATTTCTGCGATAAATTAGATTTTAGATCTAATACTCAAGAATTAGAGCTTGCAAATTACAAGTAGATGCATATACCACGAAGAAAAGGAAGATATTGGTTATATTTCTAAAAAATAATCAACCCCTTTCGAAGAATAAATATATTATGGGCAGAAACCGAACATACAACACTCATATAACATACCAGCATGATTTCATTCATAGCTCTCTTCACATGCTCATCTGGGTCTATATCAACAATCAGTGTTTGAACAATTTCGTACCCATAAGCTGACATAGCCTATGAAGACAATAAAGCATAATATTCAATTAACATAAATTCACAGTTCATCTTATAAGTAAATAATATTTTTACATTTAAAAAACAACCTTCTCAGCTCTTCTTTCCACAGCTCTGGCAATTTCATTTTTCTGCTCAAAAGCATCATCCAAGTTCAGCTTTGATATTTTGGTTCTGTGGACTTTTTCTACGAGGGATTTTTTGATTCTATAGATTTTTCTGGCCCTAATTGACGGGTCTACTTATTACTATTTTAAAATTTACTCTTGCGCATAACCTAATATTCCACAATCTAAGATCTTTTAACTAAGATATCAACACTTACTAAAATTTTCTTTGATCAATTTTACATAGAAACATTATCATAATTAATCACATCTTCATACATCAATATTCATTCATGAAAATATAAAAAATACATGCATTGATATTCATGGCATTCTCGTTCATGGATTAAAGAGACAAAAGTAGATCTTACATGTTGAAGAATGGGAACCACTACCAGAAATACCCCACCCACGAGCACCACCAGCGGTTGCGACGAACACCACCAACACCTAAACCCAACAAGGACATCAGCTCCACCACCTCCACCAATCACCACTTACAAAACAACACAAAAACATCAAACAAATCATCACAATGGAGACACATGAAGAATCCAAAATGAAGTGGTGAATCGGTTATGGAGAGAATCGATTCTAGGTGCATCAAAGGGGGACAATTGATTTTGGATTGTGTAGCTTTAGAGGGGAGAATCAATTCTCATATGTTACCCAAATCAATTTGGTGTGATTTTCATACAACGAGAATCGATTCTCTTCTTCTAACGAATTGATTCGGCACTGTGTTCATGTGCATCTAATACGTGAGAGAATCAATTCTCTCCTTCATAGAATCGATTCCCACACTTTATCTTCATCCTTTCTCTCATTCTAAACCTTTGTTCACAGTTTCAACCCTCACGAACACACTCTGTAACTCCCTTCATAGTTTCAGCTCTCTTCACACATCTCCTAACAATTCACCCTCGCATCCTTGTAACTCCTCTAAGACCACCATAAATACAAAAGACACTCACGCAGTGTTGAGTTAAGACTCAATTCAATGCTTCACCCACCACTCAATTGACCACGCCATAATCTCCATTGTTGAGTTTTAGTGGTCAAGAATCTTTCCAGGAGAATCTCTGCTAAGCTACGTGCATGGATAATGAAAAGAAAATAAAACTTACCCAGGAAATAACATTGCATCATAGGGAGAAAGAAGTAAATTCAAAACAATGACATGGCTTTCCATGAGGATCTCCTCACTTCAGGAGTGCGAAGACTTCATACTCAATCGCAAATCAACGCTTCGAAATCAGTTCAAATCAGCAGATCCAAACAAAGTCGACACCCGCTCTTCCATTCACATGAACAACAAATCACTGAATCCAAACACAACATTAATCTTTAATCAATCAATATGTTGATCTGGTTCAAATAACTATTCCGATATTATATCATCTTGAGCGGATGACATCTGTAATGTACACATTACAAACAAAAACTTGTGAAAAACTCCTTCGTGATTCCTTTTATGCACAATGTTTTAACACCAAACTGAACAAACTCAGTAGTTTCAGTCTTAAAAAGTTATTGTCCATGTGCGTGGGTGTGCGTTGGAGCAATGTGTAGTGGAGATATGAGTTTAAGGGCGACACATTGGGTTATAAAGTTAGCACTGCATTACAAGCAAACCTTCAGATTACTTTAATGGAGATAATGATAACTGGAAGCATTTTCCATTTGTGCAAAAATATGGAAGGCTAGAAACTAGAGTTTAAGGATTAGAACGAATCATTCTCCAACGGTATATAAGAAATTTATATGCAACTTCCACTATCCAGACAACTTTTATATACAGATACTTGATAGTTTTATTATACATTATTCAAAATAAAGACAACAGAATACACAGTATTTACTTGACTGTCTCAAAGTATAAATAAAAAATGCCAAGAAACTGGTCCTCCAAAGGATTTTGGCCAACAAATCAATCCCTCAAAGATACAAATCAAAGACTAATTTTAGAACAAAGGTGGTAAAGTCTTAGATAATTGTGGGACTAATTTGATGCAAAAAATATTTAGAAGATAAATCAGTTGCTGTTATCATTTTTGGAAGATCAATTTAGCAGTTTATTCTAAAACCAAATCACAAAAAGCTGCACAGAAACACAAGTATATAACCACAGGCGCTATAGCTTCACCATTCTCCCATGCAAACGAAATATAAGATCTTGATGGAATAGAAGCTACTGATGAGAAGCCTGAAGAAGGCCATCACGAATTTGGGTGGCAACATCGCGAACAGCACCAGGTCCATGTGGAATAAAGACAGCAGAAGACTTGGAGGCAGCGCCAATTTCTTTCATAGTATCAAAATACTGAGTGACAAGGACCATGTCCATAACATCTTTTGCAGTCGTCCCAGGTACATTGACTGAGAATCCAAGCACACTGTCTCTCAATCCATCCACAATTGCTTGACGTTGGCGAGCAATACCCAACCCAGAGAGATATTTAGATTCAGCCTCACCCTCTGCTCGTTTAATTAGCAAGATCTTCTCTGCCTCTGCCTTCTCATTAGCTGCCACCCTCAATCTTGCAGCTGATAAAGGGAAAAAAACAGCATAAAAATATAAGTCATTCCATGACCAAAGGAAAGATTGCTAGTCAACCATGTTAGCATAAAGCAATCAACAGAGGAAACAGGTAAACTATAATCACAAACAATCGTTTGAGTCCAAAATTGCACTTCATACAATATTTAGTTAATATACACACGAGTTGATTTAATGAACACAACCTGACCCATATTAATATAGCGAAAATAACAAAATGTAATGCCTAAACAATATTTCTGCGATAAATTAGATTTTAGATCTAATACTCAAGAATTAGAGCTTGCAAATTACAAGTAGATGCATATACCACGAAGAAAAGGAAGATATTGGTTATATTTCTAAAAAATAATCAACCCCTTTCGAAGAATAAATATATTATGGGCAGAAACCGAACATACAACACTCATATAACATACCAGCATTGATTTCATTCATAGCTCTCTTCACATGCTCATCTGGGTCTATATCAACAATCAGTGTTTGAACAATTTCGTACCCATAAGCTGACATAGCCTATGAAGACAATAAAGCATAATATTCAATTAACATAAATTCACAGTTCATCTTATAAGTAAATAATATTTTTACATTTAAAAACAACCTTCTCAAGCTCTTCTTCCACAGCTCTGGCAATTTCATTTTTCTGCTCAAAAGCATCATCCAAGTTCAGCTTTGGAACACTTGCCCTAATTACTACAATGAGAATAGAAATTTCTCCTTAGCTAAACAAATATGGTTAAACCACTTATTCCAGGCTTCTGTTAATGAGTATTATGGTTTATACCATCAAAAACATATGCCTGAATTTGGGTCTTTGTATTGCTGAGTTTGTAAAAAGCATCATTGGCCTTCTCTGCCAGGGCACGGTACTGAATTGAAGCAACAACAGTAACAAATACATTATCCTGTAAGCAGACAAACATTTAATCTGATCAAATTTGACTCGACGGGAAAGTATAAGATAATGTTTACAGAATAACAGGTACTAGTGAAAGACAAACAAACATACAACAACAAATCAAGCCTTTTCCCACTAGATGGAGTCAGCTAGACAGCTACATAGACTAAATGATGCCATGGTAAAGTATATTGTTGATAATCATGTCTTAGACTAATCATTGAGCTCGAAATCCTTTTCAGTAGTTTGTTTATAGTTTTTCTAGACCTTTCTCTACCTTTTGCAATAGGACTTCCCTCTAGCTGACAACGAAGCACAAGAAATGACAACCAAATACACACAATAAAAAATATCTATGCTGAATGTTCGTGGTGATTAAAAACCAAGAAATGGCTTAAAATATTTGGTTATAGTTAAAGTGTTAGGAAAAAACAAAAAACCTTTGTCTTGGTCTCACATCGAAGATCCAATTGTTGAAGTCGAAGAGAGAGATGACCAGCAAGTTGTTTCCCAAGGAACCATGGCATGCAATGGCATCCTGGCTGAAGCACCTTCTCAAATCGTCCAAAATTTTCTTTTATAGCCACTGTAGATTGCTCCACTTGCACACAACAGAAAAGATTTCCCATTGCTGTTAACTGCAATATTCGAATGTATCAGCACTAACTCAACAAGACACAGAATTTTGAGGATGACAATTGTAGCATGCATGAACTGAACGCAAGAAATTTGAAGGATTTTGACTAAACACGAACAGCCATTATACAGGCTAAATATGGACACAAGGTCAACTACAATTTATTTCACACGTTAGCAAAACCAACAGCAAAATCTATGGGAACACATCGAGTTACAGTCCTCAGCAGGAGAGAAACCAGTGTTTGTACCAACAAAAGTCCAACAAACCTCTACTTTAGTACTTATTGTGATAATCCTACAAGCTATTCAGTGAAGGGTACGCAACATGAATACGGTAAAAGAGTTTAACCAGTAAAACGGACGACCAAAACTTGTACTCTTTTACAACAGTATTTGAGAATTCGAATTAAAGAAGGCTCAATAGTGGACAATATAAGTTAGTTATTATATTGTGTCCCCAACAGTAGTCCCAAAATTATTATCACTGGTTAGACAAGTATTGATTTTAAGAAAAAAAAAATGCAATATACTGGCAAGAAAAGAAACAAACAAATCAAAGGCAGTATCAGAAAGCCTTGCCAAATTAATAAATTCACCCCATAGAAGATTGCTAAGCAATCTGGAATTCAGCATCAGATTATTTAATAATCATATCCAAATCATGTAACCATTTTATCTTAACTCACCTACTCCAGGGAGACTCTTTTGTTCCAGTGATGAAAATTTTCTCCTGGCACAATTGTGGAAAAAGGTGACAACTACTCAGAAAACATAACAAGCAATTAATGTGGATATGCTTTTGTATTCTACAAAAGAACTCATCTCAACTCTCCAAGCAAAAATATAATTAGATACTCACATGCACCACATAAAACACATAAAATTGGAAACAGGAAAAGATGCAACTTAGAAGAAAAATACAGAGGATCAAAATGGCACCTCAAAGATAGAGGCTTCCAAAGCAAAGCTGACTTGGGAGAGCTGTTGCTTAGATTGTAAACAAGGATCTCTTGAACAATGAGAGTAGATAAATACTTGCCATTCGTAACATATTCATCACCACCATTAATCATGACGTATTTGTTTTAACCCTATATTCTATACCCATTGGCATACACATATAAAATTTATATATTGTCTGTCAAAAACCCAGAATTGCAAGCTAACTGACATGACAGGCGAATTACAACACAACTTCGTCAAGGAGATTTTACCTACACAATCCTCCTGCTGATACAACCTAGACAATTACTTATTGCCTTTTTTAAATTCACTTGTGGGACAAGGCTACACAAAGTCCAACCCTAAAATTATATAAATAATTAGCCAATGGGTAAACAGTAACAAACATTTCACACATACTACGCAGAGTTCGGAAACAATATCTACACAACCATAAAAGTTTGAAAGATGAAATTGAACTGCAGTGGTAAGAGAACTTTTAATTATTACCTAATATTCAGTTTTGCTGAATCAATCAATTGAACCCCCAAAACACGCAATAACTATGCTGTTGAGGATTTTCGTATTAGCCGAATATGTAGTATGTATAAAAGTTATCAAAAGCCGAGAGTTTTCGTAAAGTCCTGATTGGTAAACTTGTAAGAGATGGCTTAAGATAAAAAAATATTATATAAATAATATCTTAATTTAAATAAGTTTATAAAATTATATAATTTTAAATAAATAAAACTTATAAATATATTATTTATAAAATTAAATATAGAAAAACATATATTTGGATTATTATCATTAATTTTGATATATTTTATTAAGGAGACATGACGATGACCATGGAGAGAAAGAGGGATGCGTGAAAGATAGTGATAATCAGGTTGTGAAACTCTAAATCCCAAAAGATCTTGTTTTTCTTAATTTTTAGTCTTTTCAAGCTTGCAGAATTGTATCAAACTCGCGATTCTACACCATCTTATCGATTTCACAGTCGATTTTATCGACGCAAAAAATGAGTTTATTTTGGAGTTAACTCAGAAATCATGTCTGAAAACGTAAACTCGTATAAATTGGAAGAAGTGTTTATACCTTATGAACTTGGAGAGTATGTCACTAGTGTAATATTTTTAATTTTAGATTTATGTTCATGTTTATTTTTCATTTTTTTTAAATAAATATTTTTTAATTAAATTAAATATTTTATCAATTTTTCTTTTTAAATTATTATTTTTTAAAATTTTAATATTTTTTATATTTCACCATTTCTTAAAAATTAATTATTTTTTAATTATAAAACTGCTTACAATAAAATTACAAAAATCATTTTAATTTTATAATAATAATAATAATAATTTTATTATTTTTTATTATCATAATAAATATGTGAATTATGAATTATTAATTGTGAATTTTAAAGTCTTAAACTTTATATATTATATTTTTTAAAATATAAAAATTAAAAATATTCTTTTACTTTTAAAATTATCTTAAATGCCAGGTGATATTAGTATAATATATTAATTCTTAACGTATTGAGTTAACATTTGTTTTTATTACATAAGTGAATTTGTTCAAATAAAAGCTTGTTTGTAAAGTGAGGTAGATCAAACACACATTTTAATAAATATACTAAGTTATTGGATTTGTTTTAGATTAATATTATGTAAGTTTTTCATTTGCTAACCTAATTCCAAGTAACCATATAACAAATTAGGTTTTCCAAATATATATTTGTATAATTAATCGACTTGATTTGATACTAAATGTGTTTTTTTATCAATATGAAGCAAAATAAAAATTAAATAATTGCACTGAAATTTAAGTATTTTTAAATTATAGGATATTTTATAAATGCAACTTAATGTATCACAAAATTATGTCTCCTTCATTGCAGTAGGAGTTCGGTTTCATTATTACATAATTTTTTGAAGTGCTTATTCTCGAATACCTATTTTCACACCATTTTAAAATCCTTGAAGGATTCTAATGAAATACTTTGGTCAATTCAAACACATTCACTGATACATTAATTGTGAATGAGTGATCAAATCCAAGTTCTTGATAGTGAGTTAAAAGATTCGTTTTATTATCTATTGCATTTAAAAGTATTTATCATGATTGTCAACCACATATATAATTAAAAGAACAATGTTAACATTTGAAATTTTCCTATTTTTTTAAAAATTAAATGTCTAAGTCAAGAAAAAAAACATAATTAGTAAATATTCAATCATGTTCTTCTTTTTAACTCACAAAAATCGTTGTCATCAATAACTAGTAAAACCACGTTTCACATCTTTATGATAAAAAAATAATAAAATTATAATTTTAGAAATAAATATAAATAATCTGTACAATTTTATTAACTTTATAGATATTTTTTTATTATAAATATTTATTTTAATTTAAAATTCATTTAAAAAATTTAAACAGAAAAATAATTAAATTTAAAAAATATCACTTTAAAGAAAAAATCGATAAAATAATTATTTTAATTTAAAAAAATATTTATCAAAGAATAAAATAGAAAAAAATATGAATACGAGAAAAGGTGAATCTTGTATATAATAAATTACTTAAAAAATAATATATATATATATATATATATATATATATATATATATTCTTTTTAGCATATGGTTATATCCAAAGTATTATAATCTATTTTTTTAGATTATTTTTTAATTTTATTGAAGTGAGTAGACTAAAGACTTCTTTTTTTCAAATTAGATCATTTTATTGTTCAAGTATAATTTTTGAATTTCTTTTTTTATTTAAAAGAAAAAGTGAATTTTTTTTAAAATATATTATATGTATATAAAATGAAATAATATTTATATTTATGGTTGGATTGTGTAAACGAAAGATATAAGATAAAAGATCTTATTGAGAGTCTAAACTCAATCAAACCTATATAAAGAGACTTAGAAAGACAGAAATCGGAATTCATTCATTCACTCAGACTCCTCTACCCGAAGCAATCATCCACCATTCATCTCACTTTTATTTTACCATATATTCTACTCCATTCATGGAGGGCTAAGCTTCTAAGGCTATTCTACTGTAATTTCATTATGAATTATGAGGTTAAGTTGAATTAATGTATTTGTTTCTTTTGATTATTGATTTGAGTTATTCTTCTTTTATGTTTTTCATCTTTCAATCATATTAAAAGGTATTTGAATCTACATGCATATTAATCATGAGTTCAAAGGATTAAACACAATAGAATTTGATTGAGAATGTAATTCACAGTGAATTCAATCAAAGTACATTCTCAATCAAATCCTATTGTGTTTAATAATGTTTATTCTTAAATATCTTAACCAAATTAAAAGTTAATTAATCAAAATAAATTCTCAATTAATTATAGTTGAAATTCTTATCACCAATCAAACTACATCCTCAATTAGTAGCAAAAATAAAAATTTCAATCAAACTAAATTCTCAATCAAACCTAGAAACCCTTGAACTAATTTGCATGTATATTCAAACACCTGATGATTCAAAAATCATTACTTTTAATATGATTGAGAGATGAAAAACATATAAGAAGAATAATTCAAATCAATAATCAAAAGAAACAATACATTAATTCAACTTAACCTCATAATCCATAACGCAATTATAGTGGAATAGCCCTAGAAGCTTCTTCCTCCATGAATGAAGTAGAATACATGGTAAAATAAGAGTGAGAGGAGTGGTGGATGATTGTTTCTAGTGAAGGAGTCTGAGTAAATAAATGAGTTCTGATTTTTGCTTCCACTGGGTTTCTTTATATAGGCTTGATTGAACTTAGATTATGAATATTCTGTTAATAAGATCTTTTATCCTATATCTTATATAATTCAAATATGCAACAGATTTAATATTTGATAGGTATTTTCAGTTGATATTTTCAAATTAAATTAATTATCTTTAAATGTTAATTGAATGATTTCTGAAATTTCATTTATGTGCTTCTTAATTTTCTAAAATTGTAAAAAAGCTCTTGAAATTTTCTCTAAATACAATTTAAATGAATAAAATTATAACTTTAGCTGCACAAATAAATTAATCCAACTTATGTAATTAAAAATCACATTTTAAGCTTATTTAATTCTCAAATCAATAAATTCAATGATCACAAATTCTAATTAAATCAACTATTTAAATATAAGAATCTCATTAAAATTTTGAATTTTAAAACATAAATATGAACGTATAGATGTAATAATGAGTAAAATATTATATTCTAAACTTAACATGACTTGATGATGAGGTAAGAAAATGAAACAAATTTATAATGAATGTGTATTTTAAAAGATAATTTTCTATTTAAATAAATTGAGTTAAAAATAATAAAATAAGTAAAAATTGGTTTAGTTGTAACTTGATTTGTAAGTATCAATATCTAATTTTATTCAAGTAAATAAAATTAAAAAAAAAACTTCAAAATTCGGATGCAAATAAAAAAGGTGAGATAAAAGATTTAAAAAAAAAGAGAAGAAAATAAAAATAGAAAGTAAAAAAAAATAATAAATAGGAAATAAAAATAAACTTAAAAATTAAAATTACAAGAAAAAAAACAATAAAACGAAAATCCAATAAAACAATTATTATTAGTCTACCAAATAGTACATGAAAAGAATATCAAATGACAAACTTAAATCAAGTAATATAAGATCATATATGGATTTAAGAAAACATCATAGTTGGTTAAAAAATGTTTATAGTACCAAACATTAGAATACAAAAAAAACATGTCTGAACATTAGAACGTCTACATCTCGTCTTTAATTATGTTTAAATGTAATTGTAATTATATATTTAACTTTTATTTTACTTTTCATATAATTTCACTTATAACAAGCTTATTATTTAATTTTATTTTTATAACAAATTACATTAAAATTTGAACAAATTAAATTATTTCAACTATATAAATATACATTTGCCAAATTTAATTCAAATGATCAATTCCCTTAATTCATCTTATTCTTTTTCTTTGTTTATTAGACATCTATTACTAACTTATTTTCAAAACTAAACTTATTTTACTAAGTAATTTTTTTTTCTAATAACTACAACAAATAATTATCTAATTTTAATTTTAATTTTAATTTTAATTTCAAAATTTAAATTTTATACCTTTTTTATTTTTAAAAAATTATAAAATTATATTAATTTTTTTATATATTTTGCTTATTTTAAATTTATATAACTTTTTAATTTAAAAACATACAAAAAGAAAAAAACTAGCAGAGTCTGCTATCTTTGGGATAGATTTGATGAAGAAATAAAATGGAGTCTATTGTTCTGTATTAAAAGCATTATCTGATTTTATAAACTGAAGCTTATATTTTCCCTCGTTAGTTTTGAGAGTGTGGGATGTATTTTTTTTTTTCATTTCAGCATAAAATTAAAATGTTTAAACAACAAAATATTAACTTTCTTTTATTCTATTTTTTTAAGTTTAAATATATTTTTAATTCTTCAACTTTAAAGTAAAATTGAAATTTGTCTTAATTTTAATATATTTTAGTTTAAAATTTTAAAAATAAATAAATATAGTCTTTTTTATCTCAATTATGTTAAATTTATTTATATATC